AAGCCAGCATCGTCCAGTGAGATTTCTTTAGTGTATGGAAAAAGTATTGAAAGTGATGTTTCATCATATATAAATGCAATCACTGCCAAATGTTAAATGTTGAGAAAGAATATCTTTATTCTTTCACATATGTCTCTTTTTTGTAGAAATCTTCAGTGCAATTTACTCACAGAACTGAGCTTTGGGACATTTGAAGCATGGCATGGAATGCAGTTTTTAAAGCAAGTGTAAGTGAAATACATGATAAGCACATCTAAAAAAAAACTAAAAGCAACGTCTATGTGTTAACTTCGTGCAGTTATCCTTAGCTGGGTCTAAATTCTGTATAAACTCTGAACATTATGTCTTAAGATGCATTGATTATTTTCTGATGAGATTGAGTGCATTCAGGATGGTATGGCCAAAGATTCCATTCATTATTTTCAAATGAGGAAACTAAGGTACAAAGAGGCCAAGAGACTTGTATATAACATTTTTTGGTGACAGGGGGTCTCACTGTGTAGCCCAGGCTCGCCTCAGACTTATGACATTGCTCCTGCCTCAGCGTCCTGCGTGCTGGGATTATAGCCATGTGCCTACCGAGGTGACTTCTGTAACTTCTATGTAGCCTGCTCTGCATTCCCAGATACTGATCTTTGGCATGGGCAATACAGGGTAACACACAAGTAACACTCTAATTAGCACTGTTGGGAGCTGAGGGTTCCTGCTATGACATGTGAGTGATCCTTGAAATTCCACTTGATTCCTTCTCACATGCAGAGTTCTAACTATTCAAATATATACAATAGAGACCTTCAAAGAACTAAGTTTAGTGTAAAATTCTCTAAGGAGCAAAAGGTACAAGTGCTTTCTCAGTGCCAGGGTCTTCTAAATGGAAAAGCAGAAAGAATTCCTGAAAACCTGCTACCAGGTACTTCTGTCCCTAAACACTCAGAATGTTATTTTGAGAAAGTGTGGACTTCTAAAGTTATGAATTATGTGTGTGCAATAAGAAGCTTCAGGACATGCAAAAATTGGGTGTTTGTGTTCAGTAATAGTGTGAAAATATAGATACATTGCTCTAGCCTAATTCCATATGCTTTCTCTCCT